CAATGCTTTACCAAATTATTACGTTTTATCTTAGAGAAGATTACAAAGGAATGAACAATGTCCAAGAGGATGAAATGAAGTTGAAGATATAGATCATGTGGTAAGCAAATGTAATTAAATCAGTGAGGTGTTTCAACATCTAAATAGGCGGGGCTTTGGATTTCTAGAGTTTCATTCTTTGGAAGAATGTTGTATGCAAATGGTTAGCTTTACAAAATGCAATAAGTGGTGAAATTGTTTTGAAATGTGATCTACTTTACATGGAAGGAGAGGTATGAGTTGGTACATGGGAAGTCGAAAAGGAGCTCAATGTACATTGCAGCTGAATTGGTTTGCTATGCATGAGTTTCTAATGCTTTTATTTATGTTAATTTAGGCTGGTTGGGTGCTAATCAGCATTTGCTGCTGTTAATTCAGGCCGATTGGATCAAGATTAATGTTGATGCAGCCTTATTATTATCCTATAAAGGGGGAATTGGTGGTGAGTTTAGAGATCACAAAGGCAGATTTCTTACAACTTTTGGCAAACTGTGTATACATTGGGATTGTTGAGACTTGTTAAATATGAATTAGGTTATTAGACCTAAGCTTATGTCCCAACGGCTAACCAAGAGGGGGGTGAATTGGTAATTTAAAATTTTTACCACCCTTTTATAATTTTAAACCGATTAAAAAACTTATGATAAATTTTTTAAAAAGATTTTTCAACCATAAATCACATAGAAATATTAAAGTAAAAAAGGTAGCGGAAAAATAAAAAGACAAGATTTATAGTGATTCGGTCAAACACGACCTACATCCACTCCCTGAAGTCTCTCACTTCAGGTATTGCACTATTACCACTTAGTGTCTCTCTTTTTTCCCCCACAGCAAGATGGAGAAGCCTTTACAAAAACTCTCTTCCACTACTTCCCAGTGTGGCAGAGAATCGTCACCCTTTTACACCATCCAAGTGTAGGCAGAGTACCTCTCGCTGTTCACACTCTCCAAGTGTAGGCAGACAACCTTCTCGCTGTTTACACTTTCCAAGTGCAGGTAGAGAACCCTTCATCCTTTCACACTTATCCAAGTGTAGGTAGAGAACCCTTCATCCTTTCACACTTCTCCAAGTGCAGGCAGAGAACCCTCCTGTTGTTCACACTCCTCGAGTGTCGGCAGAGAACTGGATCTCCTTGATAAGATCTTCTCATGAGAAATCTAAAAGGACAAGAGAAAAGAGTGAAGTAATCATAATTCACAAACGAAGATCCTTACCTTTGAGTACCAAGTGAACACTTCACACTCCAAATAGTAAAAAATCTCCTTCAAACACTCTGTCACACTCTCTCATTCAATCTCTCTTCAGTTTGCACGAAGACTAGTGGACAAAAAGATTACAAGATAGTTTTAATTGGACCTTTTATATGAAAGACATGAAAAACTGTCCAAAAACTATAATTTTTCAAATATGTACGTACTTGATCATCCTGTGCGATTGAAATTTGTACATACAAATAGTATAAAAACTGTTGTGTATGAACTCAATGTGCATTGGTACGAAAGGACTTCATACCCGATCATCGTCCCGTACAAACATAGTTCGTCCGATACTAACAGTTATTTCCGGGCTTTATTAGAAGATAACTGCAGAACGGTCCACAAGATTATGGGACAGAGGGCATCATCCTAGGACGAATGTAAAAGTTTGTCTGGATGAATAGTATGGAGCATGAGTCTAGAGAACATCATCCTAGGATAAATGTACAAGTTCATCTGGATAAACAGTATGAACATGAGTCCAGAGAACATCGTCCTGGGATGAACAGGCTAAAATCGTCTAGATGATTAGTTCGAGTCATGGGTTCAGAGAATATTATCCTGGGATGAATGTACAAGTTCTTTTGGACGAATAGTATGAACATGAGTCTAGAGAACATCATCTTGGGATGAATAGGTTAAAAATTTTTGGACGAGTAGTTTGAGTCATGGGTCCAAAGAACATCATCCTGGGGTGAATATGATAATTGTATGGATGAACAATCCAAAATGAGAAATCAGAGGACATCGTCAAGGGATGAATAGGATAATTTGTCTGGACGATCATGACTTAGAAAATTTTCCTCACTTTCTATTCGTTCCATTTCTCTCCGTGGGGTGTAACTGATCTAATCATCTCGTACGAACATGGTTCATCCGTACAATCAAAATAAGAAATATTGATTTTTTTTTTGAGATCTCCCCTAATATGTGTGCTAAGTTACACAATTATAATCACTCTCTCTCTG